CACAATCAATATTGATGGAAAGCTGTGAACTCCATATCTTGAGAAGACACTGCAGATGAGAGGCAAGACACATGATTAAAATCGTGAGAGCAGCTAAAACAAGAGAGGAGAAGCTCGGGAGAGAGGAGAAGGTATAATTCTTTATCAATTTTCCTTCTCTTGGAGAAAAGTTATGATGTCATCATGGAATACATGCTTTATTATTGAAGCGCAATATTGTACTTATTTAATTGAAAGCATATGTAGGTCAAAACTTGAATGGCTTCTGTCACTAGGTTGCTTGGCAATATTTTGATCTAATAGTTTCAATCTCATACTTAAACGCAAATTTCCATGCAGTACATCCACGTTCTGAAAACAAAAAGTTAGAGTTGGGCAACTATTTAATTATTAAATGTTGGCACTGATTAAGTATTTTTAACAAGGGAGTTAAGAGTAGTCAGGGAACAGCCATATCCATGAACTTTATCGGCACCTTGTGAGCAGTTACTGGAAAAGCTCGTAGCGAAATACTAATAGAGATGACACAGTTTTACCATACTCAGAAAAGATAATACTAACAAAAATTAAACCAACCTAGGTGTCGCTTTTGATTGCTCAACCATCACATGTCTGATTTGCGGGAACATGGAACTCAGAGCACCAAACTTTAATTTAACATCTGTCGAGAAAGGACACCACGAGGCGTAAAACAGAATAGCAGTAACCTCATCTTTCTGACTGGACCTTAGAGCCTTGTCGAGTGATTCTCCATCCGTCTTGTGAGAAAATTGCATAAATGCAAAAAATCAGGGTAATAGAAAAATAACTCTATTAAGATGCATGTCATAGTTAAAAGTAAATAAAAAATGCAGTTCACATGAAGAATTATAAAGTTAAGTTATGAGAAATTGGGTCATCGATTTCCTCTGCTACACCCAAAAAAACAACCGAGCACCCTTACGCCAAGGAGCAGAAATGGAAAAGAAAATGATCAAATAACAAATGTAAACTTTGGGAAACTATGGAAGGATCTATATGAGGCCCATCCATTCAGAACAACATATGTATATCAAGGTTGCATAGAGTTCAGGCAGTAGATCAATTTAATGAAAGAAAAGAGTAAGCATTCCTCACAAGTATTCAGGAAAATCATATAACATCAGTTCTCTTACTGGATTTTATGTTACTGGATTTTATGCTAAAAAGAATGATCCAATTCTATATGCTAAAAAGAATAATCCAATTCTATATATGTTCTCTTACTGGATTTTATGCCTTTTCTCAGAAAAAAGATCAATCTCTATTCCATTTATTTTTCTGGTATTCAAGCAGGTTGGAATATGTATTATCATAATAGTGGTAGAAATGGTAACATTTTTGTTTTGATATTCTACACAAAATCCTATAACTTAGTAGATAGATAGAATGTCTGTCACATTCAACACAGAATAAACAAAAAAAGGAGCAATCCTAGAACCAAAGTGACGAGGTATATATTGCTGAGACACAAAAGTCACACATTGATGAACATGTACTAGATACACCTCTTTTGAACAGTATGTACACCTTCAGAACCTACATTAGAATATTCATTCAATCTTAATATAGCTTGACCACCAACTTGTCTGTTCACCGACCACTTAACGGACACTATTTCAGTCACTTACTTGGAATCCAGTTATTTCTAGTCTTATCTCAGTTCTACTGTCACCTTTTAACTGAAGTTTTTGATGCATTCTTTTGCTTGTAGGAGGTTGTAACAAACAATTTCTTGAACTTGCATACCGAGTAAGGATTTAGTAGGATAAGAGATGTGCGGAGCCTGAAGAGGTCAAAGTAGAAATTTATTTTTGTGGATGCATCCTCCCTTATAATGTTGAAAAGCATTATAATGCTCACATAAAGTATAAATAATGCCACATTACGATTGAAGCCAAGTTAAAAATGCCATGATGGTGTTTCAAAATCAGTCAACTCATTGCCTGTAGACGTTTATATGAATACATCCTAAGGGAGAATACATGAGCTACATTCTGAGACCAAAATTGTTCTGCTGTCCACAAAAACAATCTCCCACTGCAAAGGAAGGTAAGCAGATAACCTGACCTGAGACTCAACCACCCAAGTTTCCCACTCTAGGCACACTTCACTCTCAACTCTTAAAATTTAAAACAATAACATACACTTTCCAAATACTTGGCGAAGTTCCAAAACAAAATCATTTGGAGCCTTTCTCACCGATGGAATCAATTACTTAACATTGAGCCTTTTCTCCAAGGAAGAAGAGAGGCTGCTCATACCACTTGCACAAACTTTTTTATCTAATGCATATAAAAATGCAATAAATCCAAAAATCAATATTTCTATACGCACTAAATGCCCTTAACTGCCTACTCTCAAGACATGGCATATAATTTCTAAACAGTAGTTCATTAAAAATTCAAAAACAAAGTAATCATCGTTACATAGAGAAGCATCCTACTCATGGGCATCTCCAAGGAAAGCTACACCATTACAACTTAATACTAGATAGTACAGATTACTCTGATCCGTTTCTTCAACTTTTACTTAAAAACGTTCTTTTCAATATCTAAATTCAACGAAAAATCATTTTTCCAATTATGCAACAAAAGGGGGCTAAAAAAGAGGACTCTGCAACAGGAACGTGCAATACTTAAAAGATACAACTTCCATATATCACTCACGACAAAACAAATCTTTTAAATCATCTAAAACAATTGAAAAGAATACCAAAAATTATAACTTCCAACAGATGCTCCTAAACAATCAGCATCAACTCCATGACTTGAGCAACCTCAACCATGATAAGCAATCGAAAATACTCAAACAAGCTACATGATGCAACAAGTATCTCCAAATCACCACAACTTGAAACCATTACCTTCCTCATACAATAATCCTTTCTTTGTTCCATATTCATGCACCACTAAGAACATTAAAAATACCCAAACCAAATGATTTATTTCCCCCCAATGACTTAAGATAATCTCAAACCCCCCAAAATAACCTAAAAATCCAACCTTTAAAGCAAAAATAATCAGAAAACAGATTCAACTCAATGAATAATCAACAAATCACAACCAAACCATAATTAGCTATTCAAAAAGCAACCAATTAATCAAGAAACAAAAAAAATCTCATAAATCATAAAAAAAACTTCTAAAGCTTAACAAATCACCAAAACAATCAAAAAGAAAATATACAACTCATTTCAATTAATTAAAAGATCTCACAAATCATAGAACAACTCCAGACCTCTTCTAATCACCAAAATAATCAAAACCCACTTCAAAAATGAAACCCAATCACCAAAAAAAACACAACCCATTTCAATTAATCCAAAAAAACACCCAAATACATCCCAAAATCCACCAAAAAAAGAGGATTAGAAACTGAATTACCTCAAGAATCTTAGAAGATGGAACAGAGATCCGAAAAGGGCATTGAAATTTCAGATCATACAGAAAATTATAAGACTGAATTGGAGAAACCGATTCGGAATTCGTATATCCAAACGCTGCAAATACAAAACCTAATACCAATATGTATCTAATCGACACCATAATCAACAATACTAATCTCAAAATTTTCACCTAAAAATATAAAAATTCCCAAAAATATTCAGAAAAAAAAAACCAAGAATTCCCCTTTCAGCTTCTCTTGAAGAAAATTTTGAATTTTTTTTTTTGTATAGTGTTTCAATGTTCGGCCAAAATCAGCTTTTTTTTCTCAGCAACTTTATCGTCTTTCTACGATTTTTTATTTAAGAAATAATTTTTTTATTATTTTATATTTTAATAATGGTCCCTCCTTTTTAAAATATTTATTTATCTTCCTACTTTTTGACAACAATTAAAAAAAATTAATATCCAAATATGGTGTCCGTTAAAAGATAGATAAAATGTTATTTAATTTTATGGTCTTAGATATATCGTGTCGAAAATTAAAATTAAAGAATTATCCAAAAAAAGGTCTACTTTGCTCATATTAATCCATTTGTTTTGTTGTTGCTAACTTAGAATTTTCATTCTTTATTAATCTGCTACAATTATCATGTATTTTTTTTTATTTCGTTTGTATGTTGAAAGGATTATAAGTTCAAAGTTGGGAAGGGGGGGGGGGTGGAGCGGGGGCCATTGGAGCAAAAGTTAAATAATCTTCGTGTGATCGATCGATATGTCATAAGCCACTGAATCAGAGTATCTAGGTTGTTTACATGATTACATCGCATCATTTGAGTATGTTTATTTCGAACTCTAGTTGTACTAGAGATGCTTTGTGTATGACATTATCTTATACAGATTAAAACTTTGAAGCAGAGCTTTAGAGCAAAAGTAAAGTTTATTTTGATAATCAATAGGTTACGAGTCAATCAGGATAGCTAGGTTGTCTACATCACACTGTTTGGGTTCACCTATCCCGAACCACGTGTGTACAAGGGGATTCGATTGATGAAAAAAAAGAATTTTTGACTCAGTTCTTCACCCTGATAGAAAATAGAATGAATTAAATTTGATCGAGTCTAACTCATAATGCTCTATTTTTATTTCCTTAGAGATAAGAAATCATAAGTAGTTACGTAGTAAAACATGTTTTTTGTAAGATGAATTATCTATTATGTGAAGATAAATACTTACTCGCATTCAGTATTCCTACTACACTATATTTCAATTAACTAATTTTATAATGAACGCGATAATATAAATGCGCATAAATCATGTTATATGATTAGAAGTGTTATAACAAACATCGAGTTTGAATAAATTTTTACCATTGTACTTGTCCTTGCTAGAATATTTATTGCTTGATTTTGAGTTATTTTTAACCTTAATTGTATTATATGGAAATTAATTATTTTTCTTTCGGTTTAAGAAGCTAAACAATTTTATTCATTAAATGGTAATTAATTAATCTTTTGGTATCTTTCATATAATAATAAAATAATTATCCGTTACAAGAATTTATATGATCCTTAATTACATCTACATAAAATTATCATTTCATATATTTTTCTTACCCTAAATTTAGAAAAAAGAAGAAAAAAATGTTTGATGATGGATTTGAAGGAAAAAATATTTTATTTTATCTCATTTATAATTTCCATTTTTCTTGGTCTTTTTTTCCCTTTATCTGTTGATTCACAATGCAATAAAAATTTAGTAATTATAAATTTTGGTGACTCAAATTCTGATACTGGTGGATATGTTATAGTACGTGGCATGATTGGACAGCTTCCGAAAATACATACTTTTAATCATGATTTATCTGGTCGAATGTGTGATGGCAAATTAATTATCGATTTTCTATGTAAGTTTGATTTTTTATTACACTGTCTTTTATTTGATTTCCTGATCAATGTTCAATATTCAGGATCTTGATTCATGTCGAAAGATATCTTTCTATCAAAAACGATTATACATTCATTGTTTTAAACCCGAGATAGTCGATTGATTAAAAGAAGAAGAATATATATCGTTTCACTATAATCTTTGATGGTTACACCGTGTGATATCATTAGATAATTGAAATGATTTGTTACTATTGTTTTTTCAAATCATTTTATTTTTTAAGAAATTGTAATATCTTTTTGTTTTTTGTTTGATGTTTTTGAGAGTAATTCCTTTCTTATCGAGTATTCGAAGTTCGAACTCAAAACTGTTAATTAAAAACGAAAAGAACACGTATATTAAGGATAGAAGAATATATATAGTTTTCTTACGTATGATATCATTAGATAATTGAAACAATCTCTCTTTTCTTACCTTCTTTTTTTCGAATTATTTAAGAATAATGCATTCCATTTTCAAGAATAATGTGTTTCTAATTCAAGGTGATTTCATATTTAAAGTTCAAACTCAAAATAATAAATTAAAAATGAAAGAATATTTATTCATATTTTATTTTTTTCCGTCTCATGATTAATTTTTGTTTATTTATTAATTTGATTTTCATTGTTTTCTTTTTATAGGTGAAAGTGTGGGAAATGGATATTTGACTCCATTTATGGAATCAATAGGCAAAAACTTCACAAATGGAGTCAATTTTGCTATTGCTGGTTCTAAAACTCTTCCAAAATTAATTTTTTTCAATTTGCACATCCAATTTGCTCAATTCAATCGGTTTCGATCTCTTTCTCTCGAGTTATTTAACAAAGGTATATGAAATTATAACGTCCTCCGGTCTTTGATTCAATGAAATAAGCACAAAAACACGTGTCGTGTAAATCAGACGCATGTCATATTGTAATAGACAGATTGAATTTCGAGATATAATTAACCAGTTGACCCCCTCAAGGTTTTGATCCAGTGAAATGAGCACAACACGTATTATGTGAAGTCAGATTCATCAATACGTGTTGTGTTAGTCGTATTCATTTCACATATAGACTGAATTCTGAAATTTCAAAATATAATTAACCAACTGATCCTCGATAATTTTCCGATTGATAGGTGATGGAAATTTGCTAGGAGATGAAGATTTAAGGAATGCACTTTACACAATTGATATTGGACAAAATGATTTGGATGGAATATTTAGTAAAGTCACAAATGAAAAAGCAATTCTCAAAATTCCTGATATTATTTCTGAAATTGAAAATGTTATAAAGGTAAAGTTTAGTGAATTTGTATCATTATTATTTTTTTAATTTTTTTTTTACTTTTCCTTTATTATTTTTTATTTTATTGAATTTGCAGGGAATTTATGAACAAGGTGGAAATAATTTTTGGGTACATAATACAGGACCATTAGGGTGTTTGCCTAAATCACTTGCAACATATAAGAAAAATGAGAGTGATTATGATGAAAATGGATGTTTAATTTCATTTAATGAAGGTGCAAAAATATTTAATAACAAATTACAAGTCCTTTGTGAAAAATTAAGAGATGAAATGAAGAATATCACCATTGTATATGTTGATATCTACTCCATCAAATATGATCTCATTGCTAATTCTTCTAATTATGGTAAGTCTTTTGTTTCCTTTCCTTAAATATCAGTTCGACATCTACGCTCTTCAACTTTAATTGTGCATAAATAGACAAACATGTCCTACGTGCAATGATGCACGTAGAATGTGAATTGTTACGAGAACACGTTTTATCTACTTGTTCAACTTAATATATGTTTAAGGCACTGCTTATGCACGACCAAAGTTGGAGGGCATAGATGTCAAACGCAGCAAAGTTGAAAGGTATATTTATATATTAATGCCAAATAGAAACTATCGTACTATGTTGCTCGAACTCTTCAAAAATGTCGACGAGTGCGTGTCAGATCCTCCAAATATAGTGTATTTTTGAAGATTCTGATCTGACACAGGTGTGACAACATTTTTAGAGAGTCTGAGGAAACTTCATTGAACGAGTGGAGATCACGTGAACCCATAGAAACGTGTCCTTTCTTATCTACATTTACCTTATTGGTGACCAGTTTGGTGTAAACACCGAATGCGGGACAAGACTTTCTTGACTATGTATTGGTTCTCCTTTTTTTTTGGCAGGGTTTGTGAATCCATTAATGGGATGTTGTGGATATGGAGGGCCACCATACAACTTTGAATCAAACAACAAGTGTGGACAAGGAAACTACACAATATGTGAAGATAGGTTCAAGTACATTAGTTGGGATGGTATTCACTACACAGAAGCAGCTAATGGCTTTGTTGCCTCCAAAATACTCTCAACACACTACTCTACACCTCCACTCAAGTTACATAGCTTTTGCAACATTGCACCTTGATATGTCAACTAGATTATTGTCAATCACAATTGTTCTTATAGTTAAATGAAAGATTTTATAATTGAGCCGTGAGTCTTTCAGAAACAAACTCTCTGCCTCCACGAGATAATGGCAAGGTCTACGTACATTCTACCTGTTCTTGTAATATATAGACAAGGGATACAACAATGATAAGGGAGACTGCATGAAAAACTATATATCCAAATGGAGCAAAAGAACATTAAGATGCATTTTTACTTCAATACTCAAATAGCTCATACCAGGATGGATGCTAACAAATGAGTGTATATCCAACAACAGGCAACAAGATCAAGTTCAAGATGACACCAAAAATGGTGAAACTCCATAGTACCTACTTCAAGACGGTTTTTGAAGTACATAGATTATTCAGATAAAAGAATCTTCCCATCAGTTTGGATAAAGTAGTCTTCCCAAAACTATAAAGGTAGGAATATGGAAAAGATCAAATGTCTAACCTAAATTTTCCGCAAGTCAATGTGTCACCAACAAAAATCTTAAAGCCTTTGAAGGCGTGAGGATAAAGAAAGAGCGAAAACAGTACTAATACAACAAGGCGAAGATGTTATTTCTAATAAAGCTCAACTTGAGAGGATGTATCTCTTTTTTGCAACAATCACAATCCGATTTTCTTCTCGACCTTTTGAATTTGGTTAAGGAAGATCCAAGTCATCTGTATAGGCGAAAGAAAGAAGCAAATATATGTTAAAAGTTTATAAAACCGAGAGAATGGAAGTTGGGAGAAATGGAGGGGAACATACCATAACATGAGGGGCAATCCTAACACAATATACTGGAAATCCAGTGTAGAATTTGAAGGGTCCTCCTGTCTTCAAAGTCTTCATGGCACAATCGAAAGAACCAGTGTAGGGCAATTTTCCTTCAGCATCTGGTTGCATTTTCTGAATCTGGGTCTTCACGTAATCAAATGGTAAACTGCAAGCAGCAGCAAAGAATCCAGAAACACTGCTGGCCCCTGTATTTTAACAACACGAAAGGTACTTTTTGTAAGAACATGAAACATTATGCCTCGTGGGGGATGTTGAAATTTGCAGCATATTCATCATTCAATAATAGAACTAACGTTCAAGACAGTCGAATGTGAAGAGAGAGAGAAAAAAAGGCACTTGAACGCACTAATACCCCAGACAACCTTTACCCCTTTCCGTGATTGTTGAATGCCACAACAAAACTGACTTTCACGATAACATTCCAGAGCCAGAACAGAAGATACTCAAAGGCATAACTTACACTATCTTACAGTCTGCACAACTGTAACCAGCTTTTCAAGAATCGCAAATTCCCTTAGTCCACCAAGAAACTAGAATGGATAAAAGTTCCATATGCATAAACACAGGAAGCAAAGTAGAGATTAGACAAAACATTTCCCAGCAAGCCGTTTTTCGCCATAAAAGCACTAATTGCACCAAAGAGAGAAATCAGGCCTAAAGATGCTGCATTTTCTAGCATTTAGTAACTTAATGATTAGCCACGCTACGCAAAAGATGGGAGGATTTCTCCAAAGAGAAGTTTGCTTCTTCTTTTTTCAAGAAAAATTGGAAACATTTGATGCCCTCTTGAAATTACAATACCAAAACCCTTCTTGAGGGACCACACTGAGAAACTTGACTTAAAACTAAAATCAAGACCTGTAGTACATATAGGATAAACCGGTGCTAAAACCATGGAAGCATTTGTACAGAAATTATCTTACCTACTACTGTAGCAGCCTCGCCCATGCCAAGGTTGTCCCTGAAGAACTCCACACTCTGATCATAAGAGGCAAGCATACCCATGTTCAATGCCATTGCCCTTACTACTGTTGGGCCAGCACCTTTCCAGAGGGCTAGAACTCCTTCATCAGCCGCAATACGGGAGAGTGCATGGAATGCATTTGTGTAATTGCGTCTCTGTGCTAAAGGCAAGGTAGCATCAGCTTGCATACGAATGAGGGCCAAATCTGCTGGACTACCAACAGTTGCACCTATTGCTCCAGCAGTCAGACCACACAAAGCCTTTTGGTATAGAGGTAAGGGCTTCCCTTCATTAGCCTCAATGGCCTTGTTCGTCAAAATTCTGTTTTAAGAAAACAAGAAGAAAGGTAAAAGAGTTAGTTCTACTTCTTTTTTCTTTTCATGGATAAATATAGAAAGAACGTTGCCAAGTAAAATGCATAACAACACTAAGTTGTACTATTATAAAAACCCATCCCAAAATCACCGACAATATAGTGTTTATAGCTGGGTTTTAAATCACAAAAAAGTTTCAATATCTTCACACTGATTGCTGAAGGGTACAGACAATAGACAAAAACAGGCCTTCATTTAATGATAGTCTAATTACATGTGAAATGTAGCTTCCTGTCGCACGTAAATCGATTTCCTGAAACCATCTCATCATCATCCAAAGGAAGAAGACCGTGGATTCTCATTGATTTGTCTTTATCCACATGGAAAATGGAAACCCAAACTGGTTCTCAACATCTCATGATTAATGAGCCAAAGGATTTGAAGTGGTTTTAGAGGATTCAAGACTTCAAGTGGTTTGCAAATACACTTGACACTACAATCAAGCATGGAATAAGTTTTGTCGGTTATTAAACCTTTATATTTTATCTAAGAATTCATTTTATTTTCTTGAACCTACAGATTTTTGTTCCAGGCTAATTCTTTTCAAAAGGCATGTTAGCTCAATATTTCCATAAACACTTAAAATATTAGCAAAACCCTGAATCCCAATGGAGGTCCAACAATGATATCACACCCCTTATAAATAGAAAAGCAGAAAAGAACACAGTAAACCCAATAACTACAACAACCTCATAAAATTATAAAATAACACCAAGCTGCAAAGACTATAAGAAGTAAACAGCCAAGTGGAGGGGAGAAGAAGTTAACAGCCAAGTGGAGGGGAGAGGGAGAGGAAGAGGGAGAGGGTGACATGGGCTGTCTTAATATTCAAAAAATCAGAAAAGCAAGACTTGCAGAAAATCAAACCACTGTTCACAAATTTATTCCATGTCGACACTTGACATAACCAAAGAGTAACTTCACTAGAAGACATCTCCAATAAGATGTGCCGAGTACCTCAATTTGAGTAGTTCAAACTGTATCTTGATTCAAATAAGACCAAGTGAAAAATTAGGCATGACAAGGAGGGTGTGACTATGCATAATAACAGTGGTATCAAGATACCAGAGTAAATCCTTGGGTAACCACCGATCACAACTATGAACCTTGACACATCATCAATAGTATTTGAAATTTTAAATAAGCTTGGCTCATTCTAATCGGAGAAAAGATAAATACAGGACAAACAGTCACCTGAATGACCCAAGTCGGGCAGTTGTGTAGGTTGCCTGCCTAAGAAGCCCAGCTGACAGACCCTGCATAAGATGATAAATAATTGATGGCATGGAATAACCAAAAAACCATATAACACAAAAATATGAGAGGAAGTGCATCAAATTCAGGCAGCTTTCACCAGCTTATTTCTAGTGGAAAAAGCATCACCTAGTTTTCTTGCTGATTTTTTTCCAAGAAGATAGGTAATCCAGTACGGGAGCCACTTGCATCAAATTCAGGCAGCTTTCACCAGCTTATTTCTAGTGGAAAAAGCATCACCTAGTTTTCTTGCTGATTTTTTTCCAAGAAGATAGGTAATCCAGTATGGCATAACCAATGTATTGGAGAGATTTATCGTTCCTACTCCATTGAGGATACTATAATATATGAACTACAAATGCATCCTCGCCGAGTTTAAAAGAACAAGCTATACTCATTACTTGGTGGGAAACTAAAATACCTATCTGTTTCTTGTGGACATAAAATAAAGATCCATTCAACCAGAGATCAACAAGTAAATGCCAATACATTATCAATCATCAACCAAAGCTACATAGAGATAAATCTCACAAGAACAAACCTTGTAAAAGGCACCAAAACCTTCATTTTTAAGCATGGTCTTGGTAACCTCAGCTGCTGATCCCTGTCCCAATTGTATCCTCACCTGCTCTCCATCATAAGAAAGACGTAACATAAATCAGAATAGATCCCATCAAAACTTTAGCACACCACAAACTGAAAGACTCAGACTTTTACATCATACTGCATAACAAACTGCCCCCAAAGATTCAATCTTTTCAAGACTAAATCTTTTCCACTCACTACAAAACAACTCTATATAAGAAAAGTAAACTGACACATTTCAACCAAATCCATTTGATCTAACATCTGAAATCCAACCAAATCCACCAAAACATCAGTACCAAACATCCCATATAAAACAAAACATTCATTTGATTCAAGATCTGAACACGACCCACTGAACAAACACATCTCAAAACCCCAAAAACACATCAAAGCATCAAAAAAAACAGGATCTTTACAATCAAGAACACACTAACAATCATGAAAAGCAATACCCATAAAACATAAAATCAAGATTGTGGTAAAGATGTTACCTTTATCATATCAATAGGCTGAATAACACAGGTAGCAAGCATACCAGAGACACCTCCATTAACAAATGGCTTAACAGTAGGCCAAACACCTCCAGATTTTGGCTTCTCACCCATTCTTTCTCAGCTCTCTTTCTCTTCAGATTTCAAAAAGAGAATAAGGGCCTTTGGGGACTGAAGCTCTAGGGGGTTTTCACAAGAGTAAAAAAGAGTTTTAAGGCAAAGGGGAGAGAGGTATTTATACACTAACAACAAATAATACCACTCTTGTTGAGCCAATTAAAAAGGGAAAAACCCTTTTGTGTGGTGGTTGAATCAATTTTTGTGTGACTAGGACTGCATTAACTTATTATCTCTTAACATTAGCCCTTCATTTTCACAAAATTACACTTTTTAGAAATTATAAATATGTTACTTTTAAAATTATACTCGTCTCTGTTTCAATTTAGGTAACGTAGTTTAGCTTGAGACACCATCGTGCGAAATAATGGTTGAGAAAGATAGAAAGATTATTCTTTAATTGATGGTAACATGTCATGGTATATATACTCTTGCTTCTTTATTAGAAAACTCGTGATTTCGTTTTTGCTTCTTTTGATCGTCGAGCTTGATCGACTCTACTCTTTTTCCTTGTCCCTGCATATTATTTCATTTCGTTCTTTATACGTATCGTCGCTTGAAGGAACGACACCGATCGGCCCATCCTAAATGCCCCCGAAGTTTGCTCAAATTTCAATGAAGACGGAAAAAATTACTAGATGATTATTCGTATATGTCCTAACCTTGGTGGATAAAGTTATAACTTTGTATCTATTGGGGGTGGCAGGTAGCAGGTATCTTATGAGATCTGACGAGACATGTTGCAGGTGAAAGATGACAAGTATCTTCTGGAAGGCATGTTACTGATGAAAAATGTCAAGTATCTAGTAGAATTAATCGAGACATGTTATTGGCGGGAGATGACAAGTACCTTGTGAAATCAGCCGAGATATGTTGCTGGTAAGAGGTGTTACATATTCCATAAAATTAATTGAAATGTACAAAAACTAATCCAAACACCACTCGATTATTTTTAAAAATGACATTTTTCTTTTTAACACTCATTTAGTAAAACCTTATCTCATCCTTAACTCCAATGGTCTTGAACAAAGATTCCATTAAAGTAGACATATTTTTAATTTTTTTATCATGTTATTTCTTGTATGATCATGCAAAATGGATTGAATTATAAAAAGAATCATTCTATAATTTTTCAAAAAATAAAACAAAATCCACCAAGAATCTACTTTAATTTGTTGAAAAGGAACATACATTTGACAACTTTCTTACTTTTATTCTTCAAGATATAGCAAAGGGATATACCTTGCTTTATAATTGTTGGAAAAAATTATATTTCAAAATTTGGTCTCATCATTATGTTTTTGTAAGTAAACCATTATGAAAGAAATTAACTAATTAAAACACTACAAATTGAATGAAAATCATGGTGTATCTCAAAGATATAACATGCATATTTAAAAAATTACGATATATGTATATGATGGAATTTGCAGCTAGGATCGCAAGGAGTTCATATGAATATTTTTTTATTGAAAAGTTATACTATATATACGAAGTTAAAACCTTTTATATATTGAATTTTTACGATTTCTTTGTATGTTTACTTATTTATATTAAATTCGATAGTGATTTCTTGTATATTACTATATTATTGTAAATATACTTGTTTACATGGGCAAAAAAGTCTTCTACATTTTGCAATGGAGAAGATGAGCAACAAATAAATTAAAACTTATATTTCACACACAAGTTGAAAATAAAAACAAAGTATCATAATTGTCATCTTTTTTTTTTCCAAAAAAAAATAATACTATTTAATTTGTGATGGGAAATTTCTTAAATTGGAATTTGGTATCAAAATATGGGCAGAACTTTTAAATAAAGTTAGAGAAGAAAAAAACTTTTTCAAAAAAGATTTTAATTTCAAATTCTGAAAATAAATAAAAATAATTTTCGATTAAAAGTAAAATTTTCTCTCAAAGAATTTTCTATACGTATTTAAGAAAAAAAATTGTAAAAATAACGAATTATTTGATCTTCCAACAATTTTTAATCACCAACATTCTATTTTATTTTTTATTTTTTTAATTATTTTTTCTACTTGTTTGGCGGCAATATTTTCTATAAATAATGGCATTAAAAGTAAATACATATTTTTAATGAGGGTATTAATGGCATTTTGAACTCCTTTAAACATTTAATTTCCCCGTTTTAGGAGGTCTGCAAGTAAGTCAATCAATCCGACGATTGCTTCAAGGCATATGTTTCCAATAATACCCCTAAACTATAAAATCAATAACAAATTAAAAAATAAAATAATAAATATTTCACAATTATATATGATTTTAATTTAGATAAGATATGACGCAACTTCATGTCGAAGACATGATCGACTTTGTAGAACATAATGACGATAAATTTTGTATTATCTTGGGAAAGTTTAGTCTTGGTAGTGTGCCTATCGTAATACTAATCATAGTCTGTAATATTTTACACGATTTTTTCTTAGGATTCATACTATCTTTCTTCCGAATATTGATTACCAAGAATTTGAACAAAAAGCGTATACGATTGATAAAAAATCATTATAACCAGAAATTGACGAGTTCTTAATTTTAATCAATGAATTAGGTAACGAAGCATAATCGAGTTTAAATTTGAAGGGTCTTTCTTTATTTTCAGACCAAGAACAGAGAAGAGCGAATTCAAAAAAAAGAACGATTTATCTATCTTTACGAGATAGTGAAAATGATGACGTAGATTGTATCTTTTCTAGGCCCCATCTAATAGAATTTCACTAAATATATTATTGTTATGGTTAACATTCACTTACTATCAAAAAACTCAAATTCAAATTTTGAATATAAAAAAAATCTTTTAAGAAACTTTTTCCTTTTAATATGTCTTATATAACGTGAATTTAAATTAATCGACATTTCAAATATCGAACAACGGATGAAAATTAAAAAATAATTTAGTTTCAAAAGATAAATAAATTTAAGACCATGCAAATGTCACAAATGTAACAAGAAGAATGGCTAAGAAGTTGAGGTAAACGCCATTTCTTTTGTCATTTTCATTATTTCTTTTTCAATAGATAAAACCAAAGAGCTTTTTTAAAATTTTGCAATTAAATATTAAATAATTAAATATATAATTTATGAGTAAAATTGGATTATATCACATGTTATATGATTAAGTAAACTTAAAAAAAAAGATGGCGCTTTAATAATTGATTTTAATTAATTATAGTATCATTTTTTTTCCACTTATACTTTAAGTCAAAGTCAAGTAAAGTACAATACACATTTAAATAAATAAATAAATAAAATCAAGAGAGTTTAGTTGAGGCTACGATCAAAATTGTATTATATCACCGTATTAATTATTCGATGCAAATTATTAATTTCACAAGAATTATTTTGTGTAAAGTATGATAATTTAAGTATGATAATTTTAAAGACTATTTAAATATGTCTGATTTGAAATAATATTTCATAATTAAATTATTTATTCAACCATTTATCCATACCTAAATGTCTTTTAATTAGGAACATCATGACACATCTTATATCATCACTATAATAAAGTAAAATATAAACTATAGTTTCATAAATTCTTTTTTTTTTATAAAAATTCAACTTTATAAATACATTGTATTTCCTAAAATAGTATAATCATAATCATGAGTTTGATCATTTAACCCTAAACACTGTCATCATTGGCAAAAGAATAATAATTAAAAAAATTTTAAAAAAAACTAACATCAATATATATAAATATAATTTCACAAATCCTTTTTTGAAAAATTTCCCACTTTATAAATCCATTGTATTTACCACCTAAAACAAATCATCAAATTGGCCTCAGAAATAGTAGTTATAATCACGGTTCCACTAAAAAAAATGTGAATTATTCGGATATTTTCCCAAAATTAGTATGAAAATTCACAAGTTACTTATTTACTTGTGAATTTTCATACTAATTCACATAAAAATCCCGTATAACTCACATTTTTTTTATAGTGTTGGATCAATACCCTAAACCGAAGTCATCATTGGCAAAAAAAAATAATTAAAAAAAACAAAAAGATAATAATTAAAAGATAAATAAAAAGTATCACACTAATACATAAAAACTAAAAGCTTTAAAATTAAAAATACTACATTATTATACCTTCACTTAATAAAATACAAAAGATTTAAATATGAACTATAAATTTATTTTGAAGTTAAAAGCTGCCCAGAGAAGGAGAAATTAATTATTACTGTGGGTAAATGTAGGGTTAGTGGTTCTATTTATATATAGTGGAGTGAGAGGAAGCTAGGGTTTTGGGGATTGGGCTTTTAACATAGTCGTGAAGTTAGGCCCATAAGTATGAAGCCCATTTATTTCAAAGCTTGGTTGGGTTGTCTTTTAAGGGGTCGTTAGGTAGCTCGATAAGAAAGAACTTTATGTATTTATTTTCGTATAATTTATATGATATGTTGTAGAGGTTGCATAAATATTGAAAATTTGAAACACAAAATCGAATCAAATTTTTTCAGAGTTTCGATTTCGGTATTTCAGTTCTCAGTTCGGTACTCAATTTACTTTTTTATATTTTGGTTTGATTTTCGATACGTATTATTTCGATTTTTGATATTTCAATTTAAACTGAAATATTATACTATAATTTATATAAATTATATAATAATAATTAAAAATTATAAATGTTAAATAATTTTTTTTTAAAAAATAATGTGAAACTTATGTAATGTCTATATTCCTAATTTAATTTTTAATATTCATCTTCCAGCCTCCTCTTATTCCACTTCCTTTTACAGGCAGCAGCCGATGGCAACGACTTCAAGTCTTCAACCGGCGACCAGCAGCCAGGTATTCGGTACATAATTAATAAAATCGAAATAACAAAAACTGAACTGAACCAAAATATTTAAATTTGATATTCGGTACACAATTTACAAGAATCAAAAACCAAAAAAAAAATCGAACCAAAATAGCGAACGCCTACCCCTAATATTTTGTAGAATGATACATTATTTATTTAAGAAAAAATGATAAATATATCTAAACTGTCGTAAACCATTTATGATACAAGAGAGTATTTGCAATCTAAATGCAAGGATATTTGCATACCATTTATGATGGTTCAAAAATATATTATTCTTTTTACTATTTATTTATGAATTAATACGAGTTTGATTGACAATTTAGAAAACTATCCAACTAGTACATTTATACATTATAAGAGAATTTATGCCTTGTTTTATTCATTAACTAATACTTTTATAAAATAAGATTAATTTATGATTAATTTCTACATTACTAATAGCTACCTAACGATCAAAATGTGGTAGTTATACAGTACTATATTGTTTGGTACAAATTTTGATGTTATGTAATAAAATGTGGTAGTTATACAGTACTATATTGTTTGGTACAAATTTTGATGTTATGTAATTAACTAGCATCGTATATTGAGTATTATAAGATGTATAACTAATACACTTTCGATCTAGATTGCTTGATGTTCATAGGGTGAATAATAAATAAAATTCATACGCCAAAAAATAAACTTAAATATTTTTAAAAAAGAAAATAATTCAAAATATATAACACTTATCAAATTGTTATAACAAACTCGAACTTTGAGCATTTCAATATTTACAATATTGACGTGAATGTCTATATATCTGTAGGATTATACAACATTAAATAGTTATGTCCTAAATTTCATTTATTTCGTTACAAAAGACATTTTGATATATCTTGTGAATCTATGATATTATGTCTTCATATTTACACTACAAAAAACACAATGTGAATTATTTGAGATTTTCCTAAGAGTAATATGTAAATTCAAAAATTATTTATTTTCTTTGTGAATTTTCATACTACTTTCCAAAAAAATCACACATAATTCACAATTTTCTCACAGTATTTTGATCATCATTGGCAAAAAAATAATAATTAAAAAAACAATAAAATAATTATTTAATCATTATAATAAAAAAAATTTAAACATTACAAATAAATCATGTAGTACCCCAACGTCCAAATACACCACAAAAAATTAGATGCAAAGGATAGCGAGGGGAACTTTATTATAGCTTCACTTACTAAAATATCACACTATAAAAAGTGTGATACACAAAAATATGTAATTAGCAAAGCATATTATAAATCTACGCAAACCTTATCGTTATCTCGTAAAAATATAATATGACAAACAACTCAGTCCCTTAGATGTTCATAATTAATTGTGATCATTTTCACAAATCATTACAGGTCTGTAACTGTAAAAAAAAATTGATCATCACCGTTGTTATCATATAATATGATATAATAAAAATTATGATGAATAAACTCAGTCCCTTAGATGTTCAAATTTTTTGCGATCATTTTCACAAATCATTACAGGTCTGTAACTGTAAAAAAATTACTCATCATTGTTTATTCATCGAAAAAAAAATATCATGCAAAAAAATAATATAGCTATTCCAGTTATTCTCCACAAAAAAATTAAATTAAATGAGGAGAAAGATGAATAAATGGAACAACACAAATTATTATTGCTTCAAGGGAACGAGTTGATCAAAAATAAAATATTTTTTGCCAACCAGATTAAAGAAGCATATATAACTCAAAATAATATATAAATAAACACAACTTTATTTAGAAGTTAGGAGATAAATCACCATTTTTGAAGATTTCGATCTGCAGCTGCAGAAGAGGAGAAACTGAAACTGATGTGAGTTAATGTAGGGTTAGTGGTTCTATTTATATAGAGGAAGCTAGGGTTTTTGGGGAGTGGGCTTTGAAGTTGTGGCCCAAAAGTATGAAGCCCATTTATTTGTACTAATATACCTTAAGATACTATCCGCGATCATCTATGATCTAACGTCATTCCAAATCGACACGCATAGTCATCATCGCTAGTCAATATCACCATCAATTGTTGTGTAGAAAAATTTACATTTTTATTGATATAATGTGAGATTGATTTTATATTTATTACTTTTTGAACAAAAACTACTTCTATACGTCGGAGGTTGAGAAAATAAATAGTCTTAACTATTTTGTATTTCAGATTCAAACGTCTAGATCTTAATGCACGTCTTAATTAGTATAGGTCATTGGACCTTATTCTCTGGCTCAAAATAGAGCAAAGAAAGCTTTAGATCTTTTTATTATTTCGTGATATGGACCCAAAGCAAAGATTCTGTTGCTATTGACATTTACTCAATTAACTTAAAATATAATCGACTGAGGTAGAAGATTATGCAATGATAGACTTTTGTCCAAATATAAAGCTTTTTGGCCAATTCAAAATCTCAATCGTGAGACATTTAGATACTTGGTCTAAGGGTTCCCTCACAAGTTCGAAATTGAACTACTTATAAAAATGTAACATTAAATCCACTACTAAACTTGGAATCGAGACGTATATATTATTTATACTTTTGGAAATCATTATTGTTATTGACCTAAATTTTTTTATTTTTTGGTTAAAGAAGACATATTATGAACTAAATTAACTAGGCCTTACAAAAGATGACCATTCTCCGTAGTACTTTATTTAAAGAATAGGTGACATAATAATCATAAAATTTGAATTTATATGTATATTTAGACATGTATACACCCTCTTATATATAACTAGCAAAAATTGATGTGACATTTCTCCATTTTTAGGCATCTTTTAGCTCAAATAGATCCCAATTTAATTAGTACGGTATATTCTCAGCTACTTCATCTATTTAGTCGATCGTCTATCGAAGAAATAAACTCCATTTATAATTCGTAATACTATTCTCAACTAACACAAAAACTCCGAAACTACAATTTTGAGTTCATAAGTTCCAAATTCAAAAAAAATAACAACTTATTAAATGAACTTTTAACTTATACATACGGAATATGAATCGAAGCTATATAATTCTTACGAATTAGAAACCTAGTAGGTTTAGTAGTTGTTATTCTAAGTTATAAAATGAAGCGTGCAACCAAAAGATTCTAATATTATATCTACTATATAGTCTCCATGAAATTAACATTATACTTATTGGATGATTTTTTTTTTATAATTTTTTAGAAGTATTATATGTATCCAAATGGCAGATTTTAGATGACCAAATTATTTAAAAAAATGATGAAAAAATAAAATATAAATAGCAGGCCAGGTTCGTGATTGCAACTTAGTTTTTTTTATGGTTGACACATTACAAAATTGTCCTAATTAATCTACCAAATATTATGCTATTTTTTGTCAATAACTAGACCATATTTGACTTTTATTTCTTTTAATATAGTAATAATTATTATTATTATAATTATACTATATATTTTGTATTTTGTGACATGGTATCTAGAATCATGTACTGCCTAGCATGTCTCAAATTTTTTATGTGTGTGAAATCTTTAAAATTATACATTTTGAAGATTTTATGATTTTCCTTTTTAGTTGAGTAATTCAATCTTTTTTTTATTTTGGAAATTTATATCGATATTTAACGCTGGTATTCAATAGTCTGATTAATTTAGAGTTGTATCTATCATTAAAATTCATTAAGGAGAAAAGTGTTCATATTTTAACAACACGGGAGATTCTGTTCATTTTATTTCTATTGTATTCGATGAAAATTAAGATTACTCTTTATTAAGAAAAATATCGGAGTTTTTTTTGTAGGTATTGATAATGATATTCATACTATATCAAAAATAATCTTTAACAACGATTAATTAACGATAATAATTTAATTGTCACTAAAATGTATTTTTAGCAGCAATTAATACTCTTTTATAAATGTTGTTAAAGCCTATAACAATATTAAATCAAATGACTATTAACTAATAACGATAAAGACTCTAACCTCTTTGTTAATATATATATTTTTGCGATAGCATCTCGATTTTTTTAAAAGGACAATATTTGCCTTTTAAGAAGGATGATGAACAATTCCATTACTATATAGTATAATACTTAAAAAAATACATACAAAAATGTCATCATGAGTTCATTACTAGTAATTGAAAATCAATAAAAAGAAGAAAAAAATTCCATAGACAATTAATTAATTAGACATATAGTAGTTGATATGTTAGGTATTTTGATAATCCAAAATATTAATTATTATTGTTATTTTATTATTATTATATAAAAATAAAAGAATCTTTTAAGAGATAAAATGCCAAAAACTAAGGCATCATTTTCCACCCCTTTTAACCAAAAAAGACAAAGAACGTGCATAAGTGTGAGACTTAGAGCAAAAATATAGCAAATATAACAAACTAAACAAACATTATAATAAATTTTAAACAAATATAATTTGGTTTAATCATTCATCTTAAACAAGTCATTTTTCCTTCATGACATAACATATTCCCACATCTTCTCACCACAACACACATTTTCTTTTCGATTCCGTATCTGTGTTTGATATCTGTATTAAAACATTCACTAAATTAGATTCACGTTAAGTACAACTCATCTAAGTGGAAAATAAGAAACCCATAAGTAATTTTTTTTCCATTTTCAGTGCTCGAACACAAAACTCTTGATTAAGAATAGAACAATCTTATCCATCCCATCACAATACAGACTTTTCTTTTTATTTCTCTTTTAGTGTATTGAGACATAAACTAATTAAGATTCACGCTATGTAAGACTCAAGGGAGAAACGTAGGATCCCTATTTTTTTTTCCAGATTCGCTATATAAAACTGAATGAAGTAACGTATGATTCGTATAAATAAATTTTTTTCCTATTTTCAATATTCAAACACAAGACTCCCGATTTAGATTAGAACGATCTTATCCACTCCACCAGAACTCGACGCGGTTCATGCACTTTGATATTTCAGTCAACTAATGAAAGAACAAGTAAATGAAAACAAGGCTAACCATAAACTCCAAAGACTTTATATAAACAACCTAAACATTGTCTCATTTTGTTTAAACAAACACTCTCTATTTCCTCTCCTTATTATTAGTCCTTTTTAACATCTTTTTTCTTTCTCTCTTTAACTTCCATATGGAACAACAACAACAACAACAACTACAACCTAAACATCAAAAACAAAGAAAATTTGTTGGTGTAAGACAAAGACCTTCTGGAAAATGGGTTGCTGAGATCAAGAACACAACACAAAAGATTAGAATGTGGCTCGGAACGTTTGATTCTGCTGAAGAAGCTGCTCGAGCCTACGATGAAGCTGCTTGTCTCCTTCGAGGCTCAAATGCTCGAACGAATTTCCATAACCATACCCCTGTTAGCCCTGCTCTTTCTATGAAAATTAGAAACCTAATCAACCATAAGAAAAGTCTCAACAAAATCAATCACAAAAGTACTAGTACTAGTAGCAGCAGTATTCCGACTTCATCAACTATTCATCAACAAACTCAAATATCGAATGATGATGCATATAAGCCGGATTTGAACTTCTATGATCAAATAACATGTTCAAATTTCGATCATACATCAACATTTGCAAATGATTTTGACACGATTCTTCTTGACGATGAAAATGTTGATAACTTTCATGACGTAGTACCAAAGGAGATTATCGAAGATCATACTCAATTCGAAAATATGAATGTTGAAAGACAAATATCAACATCACTATATGCTATGAATGGAGTCAATGAATATTGGGACAATTTTCATGATAGTAGTAATAATAATAATAATAATGATTGGGATCTCCCTATGCTCTACCAAATGTTTTGTCCAAGTTAGGGATTTCTCCGATTCTTTAAAAATATCGTTTCGTTTTTGTATGTAAGCTACACATATTTCGAGGATTCGATACTTTCACAAGGTCTAAGTTATAATTGTTTTAGGCCTTTCTCAAATCTATTATCAAATCAAGCTATTGAGCATTTTTAATATATATATTTTTTTGGATATATTAGAAATAATATAATATTTCATAAGCTATATTGCTTAAATCGATCGAGGAAAAAAAAAACTCTATATATTTTATCGTTCTTTTCCATATGAACAAAACTTTATCATGTACATGATTTTTTATTTTTGCGAGAAAGACAATACTATAATATTCATATTGCTAAATAAATAAATATTTACGATCTTCGATTATAACGATAAGGAAGTGATGATCTATAGCATAAAATTATTTGCATATCAATTATTTTTATTGAAGGGTTATCTTAATTATTAGAATTACTAATATTTAATGTTCCTCCCTAATAAATATAATAATTTTATGTCTAGCTAGAAGTCTAAAGATAATGGACTGTTTTACACTTTTTTTTCTCCCATTAACTTGGAAAAGATTAAAAAGCCAACTTTTTTTTTTTAAAAAATAAGTTTTAAATCTAGAAACCCAAATATCAAATTAAAAATTATCACAAAGAAAAGAAAAAAATATTCCTATTTACTCTTTAAGCCCCAATTATTATTTTTTTATTTATAAAATATACTTTTCACTAAAGTTTAATAATAGACCATAAGTATTTTCCTTTTTTAGCCCATCAAGAATTAAAAGTTGTTCAAATTTCCAAAAAGCACCTATAATAATTAACTAAACATAACTATCAAACGATCTGATACGGTGTATCAGTCTGCTTTTTTCTTAATCAGAATTCTCGAATTTAAGTTAGTATTAAAAAAATTTCAAAATTTTCGATAGTATACACTTCCTCTTGAATAAAGCGCTACACGATGTGAATCCAACTGAGTCAGACTACTATGCGGAAAAATCTGCTTTTTATCTTAATTAGGATTCTCGAATTCAAGCTAGTATGAAAATATTCTCGATAGAATACATTTCCTCTTGAATAGAATGCTACATGACGTGAGTCTAGATGAGTCAGATTCTGATGTGAATATCAAATGTTCGAAAAAAACAAAAATAAAAAAGTTTACTACTAAAAGGGGAAAAAAGAAAGAAAATAAATAATAAGAGTGGAATTACAGGAGGGAAAAGCACAAAGAGAGTCTTATGTAATGGCGAAATAGCCACGTCATCACTTGTTACCTTTCCCTTTCTTCAATAAAAAGAAACTTCTTTTGAATCAAAATCCTTATACAACTCTTCTTCTGCTTCTTTCAATTCACTTAAAAACACTTTGAATTGCATCAGAAAGGAAGAAAATTTGTTAAAATTTACTCAATTAGGTGAGTTGTTCTGCTGAAGTTATTGTACTTGTTCTGTAGTTTGATGTATGTACAGTTTAGTTCTTGATACTGTGTTTATTCAACTGATTGCTGTTTGTTTTCTGCAGTTTAATGCTTTTTGATTTGTGGGGTTTAGTTTTCTTGAGGTTATGTTGTTCTATTGTG